TCACATTCAGTATTCTTTCTCACTTTGTGCTGTCACCATGTTACTTCACGAATTGTTTAAACGATATTATCCTTTACAAGAGCTGTTACAAGTATTGATGTATTTTCTGATATTATGGCTCGTTTCTTTTCAGTATATTGCGATCAATGAATAATATATTCTATAATAATGCTACAAAAATAACTATTCATTACTAATAAACAAATTATTTACTCTAATCTTTATTTGGTACGTTTCTTTTTAAAGAGATATAAAGGGGCATGTGCCTCTTTGCAGGGGAGGAGTGAGAGTCGAGGGTGAGAGACGGACGCTCCTTTGCAGGAGTGAGGGGGGGGGGGGGAAAGTGAGAGTTGTGAGCCCCTTTGCAGGGGGAAGGAGGGGGTGAGAGTCGGGCGCCCCTTTACAGGGGTAAGAGGAGGGTGAGAGTCCAGGGGTGAGAGCCGGGGAGGGGGGAAGTCATATTCCCTTGATCAGTTCATTCGATACTTCTCCCGCTGCCCAGAGTTGTCTGACTTTTCATGTAAAGTAGTGAAATAATTGCTAACTTTAACTGTTAATAACTTTTTAACGAATGACGACCGACGACTAAAACCTGGTGGAGGTCACTCAGGGTCACGACCTTGACAACATATGTCAAGGTCAAGGTCATCGGAGGTGGCTCCCCTTTTCTTAACATTTACCCAAGGTTCGAATCTTTTGCTTTTAAGAATTAGTAAAGGATGAATAAAGGATTTAAGAAAACAAAAAATTTTAATCCTAACATAAAATTTGAGGGGCATGTGAAGTTAGCACCCCAACTATAGTACTCAGGAGTTCTGATTAGAGTTCCCGTTTCTTTTTGACGAGACAAAGAGTTCTATATAATTTATAACAAGAGTTCCGCTTAATAACTATTTTTAAATAAATTTAAAAAATGGGGTGCTAACTTCTTATCGAAAATCGAGTTCCAACAGTTCTGGGCGGCCCATTAGCTTCATTTCGTGAATACCTAGAGTTCCTGATACATAAAAAAAAGTTTTGAAAAATAAAAAAAAAATTACAAATTTTTGAAAAATCAATTTTTAGATTCAATAGTTCTGAATAGAGTTCCTGCTTCCTTTCAACGATACGAAGAGTTCTCTGTACTTTTTAACTCGAGATTCCCTTAATAACAATTTTTAAACAATTTTTAAAAAATGGGGTGCTAACTTTTTACCGAAATTCGAGCTCGAATAGTTCTGAGCAGCTTAATAGCTTTATTTTGTGAATACCTGGAGTTCCTGATACATAAAAAACAATTTTGACATACAACAAAATTTATAAAAAAAAATTAAAAAATTTTTTTTTAATTTTTTTATACAATAGTTCTGTCACATGTTAATTGTTATTCTGTCTATTTCGAAGAGTTCTAAGCGATTAAAATCAACACAGACCCAAAAATAAAAGAGATATGTACTTAAAACAAAATTTGAAAAATTGATTGCAAAAGCACATATCTCCTTATGTAGCAATCCAATCGCATTTTCACCTAATACTTTTCGTTAGGGCTCGTCGAGAACTGCTCAGAACGCCGATCAGAACTACTCAGTACTCTCAAAAAATTTTCGACGTCGGACTTAGAAAATTTTCGACGATAGAGTTCAAATGTTCCCATATCTCGAAAACCGTTGG